GCAGATTCCCCGCTCTGGAGGCACCCCATGCTGTGCTACAGCAAAGACGGGCTGTGCGCCTCCCTCACCACCCTGCCCTCCGAGGCCCTGCAGACTGAGGCACTCAAGCTCTTCAAGGTAAAGTGGAGCAGAGCCCAGGCCCACCTCTGGTGTCTCACCCGCTGAGCCCCGGCTCTGCCCCCCCGACCCCCGGGGTGGCAGTACTTGGGTGCAGGATCCAGCCAGTTAGGAGGCCACTTGCAGAGGGTCTGAAGAGGTAGGGAATGAGCTCTACTGGGTCCTCACCAGGTCCTTTATGGAAGGGAGGCAGCTCAGGGACTTCACTTATGAGTCCTTGGGAAGCATCAGTGAAATTCTTCATGAGAAGCTCCCAGCGGGAAAGGGCCAGGCTTGTGCTGTGTGCACACCTGAGAGTCTGTGACCTATTTTAGAATGTTCTTTATGCCCATCTGAGTATGGTGTCTTTCCAAAAAATGACTATGCCGTGCTTATATAATGGAAACATTGAGAGGCGTGATTCCACCCCAGAGTCGCCCTTCTCAGCACACACAGATGCTCTCTGGCAGTAACGCACCCTCTGAGTTAGACAGGATGCTGGTGAACCAGAGCCTCCCTCGAGCCCTGGGGCGGCAGCCCAGCCTGCCCACTGTCACTGAAGATGAGAGCCAGAGACCGAACGTGCCCACCGTCCTTCCCCTGCAGTCCTGCCAGCTCTTCATCAACGTGCCCGTGGAGGCTGCCTCCGTGGACTACCACGTGTCCCTGGCCCAGGCAGCACTGCAGGTCTGCCTGGTTCACCCTGAGTTGCAGAGCGAGATCTACTGCCAGCTCATGAAGCAGACCAGCTGCCGCCCGGCTCAGAAGTGTGCCCTGATGCAGGTGGGCGTCCCCAGGGCAGGGCAGCTGACAGGAGGTGGTGGGCAGGTTCAGAGCTCAGAGCTGCCTTTTCTGTGCCCTCCTGGATGTCCGTGCACAGGCTGTGATTGCTATTCTGGGCACAGCCTGACCAAGTTGGCCTTCCTGGTACCCCAGAAGGCCAGGGGCTCCTCTTGGAGAGAGTACTGAGGGCTGTGTAGCTCAGTACTGAGGGCTGGTGGTACTGTGGACCCAGCCCTCAGCACCTCCCCCCACACACACACCTGCTGCCTGTTCCCCGGCAGTGCTGGCAGCTCCTGGCTCTGTGTGCCCCCCTCTTCCTGCCTCAGCACCGCTTCCTCTGGTATGTCAAACAGCAGCTCCAGCGCCACGCAGATCCCAGGTGAGTAGTGTCACTTTCTCTGCAAGGGGGTCACAGGGAACTAGAGGAGGTCAGGTCCCCCTACCCTCTGAGATTGCTGTCATCGTGTGGGCAAGTGGTGATGTGAGCATGCCTGGGGGTGGTCCCCTACACACCAACCCTTGTACGTTTTGTGGGATCCTCATGGGAAGCAGCATTTTGTGGGAAGCACCTAATTGTGATTCTCTGGCGCCATGTTTTTCTCACTTCTGTGGGAGCGGTCCTTGCCAGCAGCCTGCAGCATGAGGAGCCTAGCCTACAACACCCTGCCCAGATGCTTCGGTGCCTCTTCCGTGCCCCCCCCCCCTGCAGCGCTGGTGATGGCAGGGGTGAATGGATTCCCTGCTATCCCCTCTTCCTTCCTTCACCTGCCTTTGCAGAAGTGAGACTGGCCAATACGCCACCTACTGCCAGCGGGCGGTGGAGCGAACCCTGCAGACCGGGGAGCGGGAAGCCAGGCCATCTCGCATGGAAGTGGTGTCCATCTTGCTGCGCAATCCCTTCCATCACTCCTTGCCTTTCAGCATCCCCGTGCATTTCGCCAATGGGACTTACCAGGTGAGAGGCCAGGGGTGCTCCCTGTCCCAGAGTTCATATCACCATCCCAAAGAATGCCTTCGGGCCAGGTGGGTGTTGTGCCACCTTAGGCTTGGCAGGTTCTTAGTAGGCAAACCAGCAAAAAGATGGGCTGTGGAGGGGGAAAGGAGGCATCTGAATCCCACTCTTATGTCGTGAAGTAGATCTTTTGAGCCCATGGCATGAGCAGAGAAACTGAGACACTGACCAAGGGTCTCAGCGGCATGAGGGAGGGACTCTGAACGAGTGACAGTGCAGTGGGGTCAGGGCGTATGTCCAGCTCCAGTTGATGTTGGGCAGACTCGTCCCCTAAGTGCCCTGCATTTCTCTGACTCTTGACTTGGCCTTGCTCCTGTCAGCCAGGCCTTTATACCTGCCCTACTCAGACCCCTCCAGCAGCCTTGGTGAGCTCCCCCGGGAAGTTTCCTCTGGGACAGAATGCCTCTGCCCCACAGGTGGTTGGTTTCGATGGCTCCTCCACAGTGGATGAGTTCCTCCAGCGGCTGAACCAGGAGACAGGCATGAGGAAGTCTTCCCACTCGGGCTTTGCCCTCTTCATGGACGACCCCTCTGGCAGGGACCTGGAACACTGCCTGCAGGGGAGTGTCAAGGTGATGGGCGCCCCACTAAGTCAACTGAGGCCCGGCTGAGCCTCCTCCAGGCTTTGGGACTTTGGTGGGGAAAGAGCCTGTCTGGTGGACGCTGACTGTCCCATGACAGGTCTGGCGCTGACCCCAAGGTACTCCCCAGGTAGGCATTTTAGGGTGGCCGCAACCCTGAAGTGTGTCCACACTGGCAGAGAAAAGTTGGTTATGCCCTTGTTTCTGGAGAAGCTCCACATCACACCTTCCCTTGAGTGGCTCTGCACACTCAAGGCTGCTTCTGAGGTGGCGTAGGAAGGGCAGCAAGACACTTAGCAGCAGCCCTGAGGTTGCTGCCAGTCTCATATACCCACGCAGCTGTACCCTCGACCCACCAGACGTCATGGAGGTCACACTTTGACCCCGTCTGCCGGGCTGGGGCCACACTAAGGAGGCAGGCCCGCCTAGCCCCTAAGGGAGCAAAGACCTGCACTGGGACTTGAGACTGACGTTGTTACAGCCTGGGTTAGTGCCACCGAGTTAGGCGTTCAGGCATGTGCGGGATGACTGCTTGAGGAACCTGAGAGCTTTGTCTCCAGTGACTGCTCACTTTAAAGGGGACAGGACAAAGGCTTCCATAGCCTTTTACTATTGCCTGGAGGAACTATGTTTACAAAGAACAGATCTTTGTAAATGTCTGGGCATCCATATGATTTGTCATTTGGCAGGCCTCTAGTTATTCTTGTTGAAGAGAATGGCATTTGCAATTAAAAATAAAGCATGGCTTTGGGGGCCCACCTTACCTCTGGGGAAGTCCCGTGGGGTGTTAAGGCCAGTGGGGCAGCATTCCTTGCTTTGCTGCTCACACCAGACCAAGGGCTCTGCTCTCTGTGAGGGATTCACAGGCAACTCGGGTGGCAGTGTGAGGCCCCCCAGGTCAGCCTGCCAGAAGACAGTCACTCAGCTCTACCCTGCTGCTCTGTCGGCGACCAGCCCTGGCCGGACCGGTTCCTGTCTCTGGGGGCTTTTCTCACTGTCCTCTCTTGCCTCTTTGAGATCTGTGATGCCATCTCCAAGTGGGAACAAGCCCTGAAGGAGCTGCACTCTGGAAAGTCTGAGGGTGGCACCCGTGTGGTGAAGCTGATGTACAAGAACAGGTCCTGAGCTCTGCCCTTGGTGGGTGGGCGGGGGGCTGTGAGCGTGAGGGCTGCTGTGGGATGCCACTCACTGTGTCCTGCACAGACAGGGATCCAAGATAGAATGCTGTGTGCCCACTAGCTGGGGCCCAGCCTGGCTCTTCTGACCCTGTGACGCCCTGGCGACTTAGGCGCTCAGTCCCCGTGCATCGTATATGCGCACGAGTGTGCAGACACATTGCCGAGAGATCTTCATGGCTGTGGGAGTCACCCTGGGAAAGTGAAATGTGTGAACACTAGATATTTAGGTCCTGCACCAACTCTGGAAAATACAGGAGACATCCTGACTTTTTGTTAATTTGAGTAAGAAAATTCCATCCCAGCTGTCTCCAGGATCGAGTTCCATAATAACCTACAATTTTAGGTACCAGATTTCCCTCACTGAATCCAGTAAGACTAACGGTGTATTCAGAATTAGCCTCGTGCTGCTGTTGCTGTGAGAGCTGCTGTGTCTGTTCTGTGTCATGCTTAATTTTTTCTGGAGGCGACAGAAAGCAGGCTCACATGTGATTAACAAGAGCAGCTTCTGTCTTTGAAATCAAGAGCAATGGACCCAGAGATGGCCTCATCCATTTGGGATCCCAGCTGAGTCCTGGCCTCTCGTTGCTCTTCCCTTTAGGCTGTACTTTCGGAGCCAAGTCAAAGGGGAGACAGAGCGGGAGCGGCTGCTGCTTGCCTCCCAAACTAGTGGAGAGATAGTGTCAGGGAGATTCCCTGTCAACAAGGAACTGGCTCTGGAGATGGCCGCCCTCATGGCCCAGGTAAGATTCTACTTGGGAAGCAGGAAGGTTGGGACATGCACTTGACTCACAGGTGGAATGAGCCCTGTCGCCTGAAACGCAAGGGGTTCTGCAGGTCCCATGGTGCCTGAGGAGAGGGTGGGCTTGCAGTCCCTGGCATGGAGAAGTGGACCCCTACTCCCCTAGCAGATCCTTACAGCAAGATACAGGTGACACTCAGAACTCTAGACTCGGAATCCTGAAAGCTGCATTTGAGTCCTAGCCACTTCCCTGCTGAGATCTTGGCCCAGCCATGTGAGCTTCCTTTCCTGTATTCTTAAAAGACTCCCTGCTTGTGCCCCAAAGGGTTACACTGATACGAAGATAGTGTGTGGATAAACTGGTACTTATAACTGCCGAGCATTATAAGGAGAATTAGGAAGAGGAACACACATTTCAACCTCAGCTCTTCTCCTATTACTTTTAGGACGTTGTCATGCCAAAGAAATGGGGATATCCTGAAGGTTCCCATAAGAGTCTGGACCTACCTGCTGGAGAGAAAGGGGAGATACCAGTTGATCTTGGTCATAATGAACATTTATTGAATATACCACAGCATGCCCCGTGATAAAAATTTTGTATGATCCTAGCCAGTTCTCATTCCCCCTCAACAAATGAGGAAATTTGATCCTGAAAGTTTAAGCAGTTTGATGAGGCAGAGCTAGGATGTGAGCCAGGTGCCTGACTAAAAGGCCAAACCTGGAACTCGGCCGTACTCGGGGATCTGAAGCATTTTCAGCCTTTTAGCCCTGTCCTGGATGGAAACCAGACTTTCTGCATTGCTTTCTTTGCCCACCACTAATTAACTGTCTTTGGAGAAAACACGGAATCTCAGCAGTTGGTCTAGACAATCTTTAATTTTCTAGGATGCTGACACTGTTTCTCTGGTGTCCATGAAACAAGATAATGTGTCTGTTCCTACCCCACCAGTATGAAGTCATTATTGGTCTCTCTCGCTGGTAGTCTCTACCTCCTCTCCAACCTCCTCTGGACTCTGACTTGTGCTTCTACATGCTTCCACCACAGGTAGAATATGGGGACTTGGAGAGGCCTACCCCACCAGGCTCTGGGGGCACACCCCCTGCCAAGGCTCTGCATCACCTCCAGCAGGTCCTAGATAGGTTCTATCCAAGGCGCTACAGACAGGGGGCATCCCCAGAGCAGCTGAGGTAGGCGGGTCTTGTGGGAAGTGCGGTGGGGAGGTAGGGGCAGCAGAGCTGGGACAAAACACGTTGACACTTCACTAGCGCCCTTCTCTCTGCCCATCCCAACCAGGCACCTGGCAGATCTCCTGACCAGAAAGTGGGCAGCTCTGCGAGGCTGCTCCTCTCCTGAGTGCATCCGCATCTACCTGACCGTAGCCCGGAAGTGGCCTTTCTTTGGTGCTAAGCTCTTTGCTGCTCAGGTAAGTATCTGTGGTTACCACACCCTCAGAAGAGACACCCTAACTCCTTCCTGGAGCTACTTACTGTCTCCCTCTGCTCATGTTGAGCAAGTCCAGGTTGCAGCACCTGCTCTCACACTAGTAACCACCAGGGGTCGCTCTCTCTCATTCCTGGCCTGTTTTAAATGTCTACCTTCTAGAACAAATTCTACTTTGGGGCCAGAAATACATCTGGGTGACCTCATCTTTCTTTCCTATTTTGACTTCTTTCTCAATGCTACTACCCCTAGGGGAAAAGAGGTAGAACAGACTAATTAACAGATTTGATATGCTATCCCCCTCTCGAGAATGCTTTCATTTATTAAAAGGTTTGAAAGACAGAATGTATCAAGTATTTGAAAGATAGAACAGACACATCAAGAACATATTGACATTCTAGACTAATACACCTGTACTGACTTAGCCACAGGGGAAGGTACCTGCTCAGGAAACAGCTCATTTCACCTCCATGAAGGCCAGGCGGCCAATAGTTATTTCAGTTGGGACTTTACCGGATGTGGAAAGATTATGCTATTCTTGGAACTGGATTCTGCTCCTGTTCACTGAAGATAACAGTTTCGATAGTAGTCATTCACTTGTTCACTCAACCAATAATTTCTGATCTCCTGTATGGGACAACATGCTAGCTGTCTAAGGTTATAAGCAATAAGCAGATCAGGCATGGTCCCTGTCTTTATGATGCTTCTCTTCTAGTGGGGAAGATACACATTCTCATATAATTATGCACTTTCCCTCTTAATACTTAACTTTAAGGCCCTCTCTGGTGGCACAACAGGTTAAAGCATAGCACTATAAAGCTACCACAGCCACTGCAGCATGAGTTCGATCCCTGGCCGGAGAGGTGACCCACATGGTGCAGCAGACTCTCCTGTCCTGGCCAGGGTTCTCCTCAGCAGTGCATTTCAGTAGATTTGCTTGTTCTGCTCCCCACTCTGTCTCTGGTGAATCTGTTCACCCTCCCCAACCCAGCATCTTTGGTCTGTATCCCAGTTCTATATGCATAAATAAAAATAAAATATTTAAATACTTAACTTTAAAAAAGTCATGTTAATGTGAAGGCATAGAATTGAACATTCAGTTGGGTCTGGAAGGTTGGAAAAAGTTTTTGAAAAACTGTCCATTTCTCTCCCCAGCCTTTGGGAAAGAGGAAATCTTCCAGATTATCCCAATGTCCTGGCAGGGAAAATTAGTCAATCCAGGACTGTCTGCCTAATAATCACTTTTCTCACTGGGAGCACCTAAAGCCCATTAGATTTCATCCTTGCCTTCTGTTGCTGTTATAGTCTCTGGGAAATCAGCTAAAGGAAGATGCACTTCGGCTGGAGAGACTGGGTAGATTCCTATCAGTCTCTGAGAGTTAGGAGAAAACAGCCTCCTCTCCTGTGTTGGTAGAGCAGCCAGGCCTGGCCTCTGTCCTCAGCAGAGCTCCTAAACAGAGGACAGGTGATAGGTGCCCAGCACCATGATCCATCCTTGAGTTTGTAGCTGGCCACGGCCCCAAGGTAGCACCTCCTGCATGAGGCCTTGTGTACCTGCATGCTGCAGATACCATCTTCTGTTTTCTCAGATGAGAATAAGGCTGGTAGTCACTGCCTGGCAGATCCCTGGAGGTGCCTCTTCCTCCAAAGCTCACATGGTTCAAAGTCCCTTGCTGTGGAGATGTCTGATGGGTCCTTTCTGTTTCCCCAGCCTGCCCAGCTCGCTTCCAGGGAGAACGGTCTGGTGTGGATTGCCGTGAATGAGGACGGTGTCAGCATCCTGGACCACAACACCATGGTAAGGATGGGGTGGCTCTCCCCCTCCTTCTGAACAGTGCCTTTTCTTCTCTGCACGCCAATGACTGACGTGCAGTTCCCCGGCCCTGCCTCTCCTCTGGAGTAGACACAGCAGCTATTCAAGATGTTAGACCTCCACATTATGACCACTTCAGAGTTCTGCCTTCTGGTCTAGAAAAGACGGTGGGGAGAAAGTGTTGGCTCCTAGCTCAGTAGGAAGTGGTAAGTTTCCCTAGAACTGACTGGCTCCTTCCCGCAGCAAGCACATGTCACTCACCCGTACTCCTCAGTGATGACCTTTGGTGGCTGCCGGGATGACTTCCTGCTGGTGACGAGATCCGCCCCAGACCAGAGCTCGGGCAAAGGCCACTTTGAAAAGTTGACCTTCCGGATGGCTGCTCCCAAGGTGGGTCTGACAGCCCCTGAAACATTTACCCTGGTCTGGTTCTGAAGAGGTGGGCTTGGAGCCTAGACAGTAAAGTGGGGTTGTGACCGTCTGGCAGAAGGGCCTTGCCCAAAACACCAGGTTTGACCTTGTCTCCTATCAGCACACTAGAGGGCTCTGGAGGAGCTGTGGCTCAGCACTGCTCACAGAGGTGGCGGGACCAGCTTGGGGGTGGCGGAGGGGTCTCACTCTTGTCCAGCTACTGCCAGGCTCTTCGCCTTGCCCTTTTAGTTTTGAGACTTCTTATGCTTTAAGGGATTTGTGCCTACTTAGGAAATGCTGACTAGAAAAAGGACTCTACAGACTCCGAGTCCTAAGATCCTGATTCCCTGGTGTAACTGGAAGCCTGTTATCTAGTCCTAAAGTTGGAATCTGCCAAACCTTTTAATCCCACCCTGCCACAGGAGAGGAGACAGACTCTATCCTCTAAAGATGGCCCCTCCCCTGGCTTAGAGATAACCAGAGTAGCACCTGCTTCTCTCGTGAGGGTTCTGTGCCTCTCAAGGACCCCCAGACCACCAGGTGTCTGTTTCACTGGACTCCTGAACCTCATAGTAAGGATCCGCTGTGGACAACCTGGGTGGGCAAACTGAAGCCCAGGGAGGTTATGGATCCAATCTAAGTCAGTGAGAAAGTCATGATCCAGCCAAGCTAGTTCAGCTTCCCAGTCTGTCTTCTCCTCAGATTGCAGAAGCCACCTTTGTCGTGGCCAGCTACATGAACCACTGCTGCACGGCTGTGAACCCACCCAGCCCCCCACCTGCGGCCTGCCTGTGGGAACTAGATGGACGACAGTTCTTTGCTCCTGTTCCACCAGCTGCCAAGGGCCCGGCACTGCTGTGACTACTTCTCCCTCCCCACCACTGGGTGCCTCTGGAATTAGACCTGTATCCTGGGGTGTGATACTACTGTGATGAGCCTAATTGCACCCCCCAGGTACCCCGAACCCTCGCACGATCTGTCTGTGTATTTTTCAGTGTCCACGCAGCTTTTGTCCTCTATGTGCCTTATAATGTTCCAGAGCCCAACTCCAGACTCAGTGTAAAGCCACTCTCTTTCACAGGAACACTGAGCTCTGGATGCTGCCTGATTCTACACACAGACAGGGACAGTCTGCTGTTCCTGAGGGTGTCAGTGCTGTCAGAGCCGTCTCCACCGATACTCTCAGGAAAGCTAGTTTGTTTTATAATATGTGGTCCTTAATGGGCATTTATACTTGAAATTTTCCCAACATCCCTGAACAGGATAGGACTAAAATTTCTACTTCATCTGAACTGTGACAAAAGCCTTTTTAGAAAACTCTCTAAACAGGACTTTCTTTCCCAGATGGGAAAGGTACTGAAGGCTCATGTTCCCTTCCCCTGCTCATCTGCAGCGCCCCTCCTGGGTTAGCAGCCCCATCTCTGCAGAACAAGGTGCCCTCCTGTGGAGACTAGAGCTGTTTTGCCTCCTTCACACTGGACCCTAAGCCCAACGGGCACACGCTGTTCATCGACAAGGGGTAGGTCCTAACTGACTTCTCCCTGCCGTTTTAATGGCTGGACAGAGTCCAGTGAAGACTGTGCTCACTACTGTATGACGAAGTGGTTGTTACTCGTTTCCCCGTCCTTGGGAAAACAAGCAAATGCACTCAGCTTTTTGCTGCTCTGAAGGCCACCAAAGTTAAGTCAGAAACAAGATTCATTCAGGTTCATACACCTGGATTTTCTCCTCAACACTTCTGGCAAACGTATGCTGGGACTATTTGAGGGCATAAGTGATACCTGTTCCCACCTAGCCTAAGAGCATCAGGTGAAAAGAAACTAAAAGCTTTTGTCACCTTTTGACTTCCTGGTGATACCAATATCTCTGCTTCATCTACCTATTGAGTGCAGATGAGATGGTCTTTGTCTCCACCTACCCCTAGCAGAAAAAAAGACGAAAGAGTTGATTCATACTCTGATTTTTCCAGCATCAGAGACACTGAGTTTTATTTCATAGTTAACCATGTATCAATAAAGTACAGAAGACTATGGGTTTAGCATTAGCAGCCCAGACCAACCTTTAACCCCAACAAGGTGTGTAGCACACACTGCTAAAACGGCAAGGCTGCAGTGCAACTAACCTGCACAGCCCAGCTGCTCAACCTTCCTCTCTCACCCTTTCAGCAGACAAGCAAGATGGAAAAGGCAGCATGTGCTATCTGCCTTTTTAAAATGAACTTGACTTTGTAAGGCTGGCAATTTTTCAGCCATCTACTATTTCTGCTCCTTTCTTTTGGCCCAGAATTTGGGATCTAGCTCAGACACTTCTACCTCAAACAAGTCACATGTACTTCAGGCTCCTGGACAGCCCCTCTAGAACTGGTGTAAAAGACAAGGATCACAGTTCTGGCTTTTCAACATCTTGAGCGTTTCAAAGACGATGAGGATATGGACCCTGGACTTAAAAATAATTAGATTCCAAAGAGAAAGCAAGCACGGAGCTGTGTTCATACTGAATGTGAGGGTCAGGTTATTTCCTCCACCTATTCTTCTTCCCAATCCTGCAAGAATTCTCCCTTAGTTCATTAATTCTGTACAGAAGAACCGGCCTTACGAACAAAGGCTTTTATAGCTTGCTGGTTTGCATGATTTTTAACATGACTGGAAAACAAGTCAAATTTCTATCTAGTCTTTCGTCTCATTTTTCATGGCACAAGAATAATTTAAAACTATTGACAATGCTGAGAAACAGAAGAGTATTAATGTGCTTGACACCCACAACTGAAATTCCATGATCATGTTTGTCAATAAAAAGCAGCTGTCTGTGAACCAGGCAATTACTGTGTATGCTTTGGAAGGAGATTCGTTTATTAAGAGAGTCAGCATAAATTAACCCTGTACATAATCAGGAACTAAGTGGACAGAGACTAGTGTTTTGTAAGACTTTCTTCCTGCTAACCAGTACCCGAAGGTCTTGACTTTTTTCTTCACTTGTATATTGAAGTATGCAGTCAGAGATGTTAACTTTCTCAAGGGATCTGATGTCAGTTTCCCGTGAAATTTGTTTTACAAATTTCAACAAATAGTAAACTGAAATATGCTTAGGAACTTCACAAAGTGCTTTTTGTCAACATTACTTCTGACATATCATTTCTTAAGATCTCCCTTAGTTGGTAAAGTAGGCAAAACCTTCCAAGGGGAACACTCAAATACATAAATCCTTTGCTCAACATCACATGATGAGTTAGGTTTCCAGTCACTGGCTCTATAGCTATTCGATTCACTGCATCCATACTGGTCTCTAGGACTGTGTTCCCCTGGTGGTCTAGAATACAGAAAAAAAAACCAGCCACTATGGCTTAGGAGTCATCTCCTATGGAAGACAATACTGGCCTTCTGTCTTGGGACTCAGGGGCTTGTTGATGTGTCTTTCTGGTGTGCCAGGATCTCCTGGCAGCTCCTGTACACTTCAGTCAGGCAGTCCAGCCGGGGCTTGGCACTCTGAATTCCAAAGGGGAGAAATGCAGGGTCAAGATGAACGTAAGAGAGTGTTGAGTGGTGCTGTCCATGTGCAGCCTCAATCTCTCACCCACAGCAAGGGGTTGAAGTGGCACAGGTATGAGCTCAGAGGGGCAGGAAGTTCTGGCCTCGGAGCAGCTTGTTCGGAGCCCCATGTTAGGAGCCCCAAACTAGGCCCCCAGCCAGCAAAGCTGGAGCAGCTCAGAAGACAGTTTTCTAGTCAGCCAAAATGTCATGGTCTCCAAGATATGGTTTATACATACAATCAAGAAAGATAAAGCAGCTGTCAAGAAAGATAAACTTACACCATTTGCAGCAACATGGATGGAGCTGGAAAGGATCGTGCTCAGTGAAATAAGTCAGAAGGAAAAAGAAAAATATCAGATGGTTTCACTTATAAGAGAAATATACGGAAACGATACAAGAGGTCAGGAGAAAAAAAGAAACGAACAGGCAAACTCTAAATAGGAGACTTTCATCAGGGGATGGGGAGGGAAAGTGATCAAAATGGGAGGGAAGAGCGCAAGTGTCTATGGTGACAGTTCACAGGTGTCTTGGTAGTGGGAATTTTATGGGGACAACATCTTGAGGAGAAACCAAACATTGTACAAAATGAACAAGAATGTAAAAATACATAAATTAAAAAAAAATTACGATGTCCATCAAAGAGCAAGCACAAGGAATAACAAGGCCAGACCCTCCCAGGAAGTATCACAAGCTAAGGAACAGTCCCAGAAACAGAAGGGCAGTTTATTAAGTAAGTTTGGAAAATTTTTAAACAGCGACATGTAATACAACCAAAAGTAAAGGAAAAGCCACAGAATAGGAAAAATATATGTGGAGAGCATATCTAATAAAACAATACTACCCAAAATATGTAAATTGTTACAAATGCATAATCAGTAGACTATGACTAGTCAAAGGAGACCATTTAACACAAGAGGAAATTCTGATAGGTAACAGAAGGATGAAAATATAAGTTAAAGAGCTCCAAACTGAGTAACTTTAAAGCACTTTTACCTACATATTAAACTAACTGAGCTAAATGTATAAGCCAAGACTTTAAAAAGAAAATACAATTCCCAAAAGTGGTATAATCTTGGAAGTCAAATTTCAAGCACTGTAAAAAAAAATCTATAAAATTATTCATAATCATTCAAAATTTAATTCTTAATAATGAAAAAAACTATTTTATCTTAGCTGCTGATATTTTTAATCCTTTGTGAAAAAAGAAAGGCAGTGATGGAGGATTAACTACATATATACATTATATACCTGTAATTTATTAATCTTTGTGAGTTTTTAAAAGGCCAAAACAAAAAATAAACTGATAGTTGTATTTGATACTCAATATGATATAAAGTAGATGCATGAAAACATACATCTTAGATTTTAAAAGCAATACACAAAATAATGTATAACAATTCAGTGTAGGTCAATAATACCCATTAAGATCACACAATGGAGGGCTGATAGTAAAACAGACAAATGCTAATTTAAAGGCAGAAGTTGCTATAGAGTTGATATTTTTCTCTAAAATTTGTATAATTCATATTTCTGAAAACTTTTATCTGCCTCAAAAGGAACTTCTAAAATAAATAAATATTTTCACTAAAAATAGTTGTCAAGTATCCTTGAATAAACTTGACAAAAGTTTACATTCCTACTGAAAACAGTACCAATGGAAATGCAGAAAGGGGAGGGAAGGGGAGGATTCCTTTGAAGAAACTTACATGAAGTGTGTGCTCACCTGGAAAACAGGTACTACTTGGGATATTGCATGTGGTTCCTTCGGGTCCTTCAATAAAATGCAGAGGTAGTAAATTACCTTTTGCTGTAAGAAAATAAACCAAAGAGCAGAGATTAAGTGAAACTCCTTGTTTTCTTTTTCTCCAAACTTGTTCATAAATGGTTATCTAAGTCATAAACCACTTGGTAAACTTTTGAAATGAGGAAGAAATATAGATTCTTATCCTTTAAATAAAAACAAAACAACCAAAGATTATTTTAAAGATGGGCTGCAAAATAAAGCTGGAATACAATCCATCAAGTCTACCTCTAGTTGACTACCCCAAAAATACAAAAAAATCCTAATTCGAAGGGGAATATGCACTCCTATTTCACTGCAGCACTATTTACAACAGCAAAGCTATGCAAAACACTGAAGTGCCCACGGAGAGATAAGTGGATCAAGAAGATGAGGTATATTTCACAAGGGATGACTCCTCAGCTATTAAAAAATAAAACCACAGCCCTCCCTGGTGGCGCAGAGGGTTAGAGCACACCACTAAGAAGCTAAAGCCACTTCCGCATGAGTTCGATTCCCACCTGCCCCGGAGGTGACCACATGGTGTGGCAGACCTCTCCTGACCTGCCCGCTGCTCCCCTCAGCAGTGTACTTCGTCAATCTGCCTGTTCTGCTCCCTGCTATGTCTATGTCTCTGGTGAATCCTCTCACCCTCTGCATCTCTGGCCTGTACCCCAGTTCTGTATGAATAAAATAAATAAATCTTAAAATAAATAAATAAATAAAATAAAACCAAAAACTCTTGCCACTTGTGGCAACATGGATGGAACTGGAAGAGATTATATTAAGCAAAGTAAGTCAGAGGGAGAAAGACAAATACTGGATGGTGTCACTTTTATGTGGAATATGGACTAAGAAACAAACCAAAGAGTCAGATAAAACCAAACCAGTAAGAAACCCTAGAAATCCAACTGTAGCGCTGAGGCTACCAGAGGGGGTTGGGGAAGAGAGAGAACACAGTGAGGAGGAAGTAGAATGGACTATCATGGAGAACTATGGGTACCTTGGGAGTGTCCGGGGACATACACCTGAAGCAGTGTAATCCTATACCTCTGAATCACACCTAGTCTGCAAACGGTATTACCTCAATAAAATCTTTTTAAAAAAAAAACTGAAATGCTGATTTCCTACCCTTGAAAAGCTGCTGTATCTCATTCAAAATAAAGGGATGTGTCCTCAAAATTTCATTTTATGGCTTACAGATATTCCAGCTATAAAGGAAACAGATATGCCAGCCAAAAGGAAACACTAGAAGTACTGAAACAGTCTTTTTATGTAACATTAGATACTAAAGTTTTACTAAGAGTTTAGATCCAGACACAACAGAGAGTTAGTTACCTGCTCCAGCGAGATCTGTAATGCTTATTACCTAAATACTTACCATGTAAATAGCCTCATTGATGACAACATCCTTCACCTTGCTCATCTCAATGAAGGTGGTACTTTCTTTACCAGATGAATAGGAAGAAGTCATCTGGATGCCAAGGGAATCAATGATTAGCAGAGTCTCTTGATCAATTTTCACAAAATGGAGGTAACCAAGTAGGCCTAAAAGAGTGATGAAGATGGCAGCAGAGAGGATCATGCTGTTCTGAAGAGAAAGCCAGACATAGGCAGTAAGATTACCAAGTGGTCCTCCGCAGATATGTGCTGTTTAATATAAGTTAACTATGGCAATGTGGGGAAAAGCATATTTTGTTGTGCTTTCAGTTGAACAGATGGAAGGTACATGCATGGAAAAAGAGGAGATCCCTTTTGTTTGGGCTCTATAATGCTATGAGAATAGAGCGCAAATAGACTGGTCTAGGGAGGACGCTTCTATCAGCAAAGTACCCATCACCAGTCTCAGATGTTTCTTCCAAAATTACCACTGAAGGATTCAGACCATTATCTCCCTTGCCCCCTCATAGAACATACAGTGCAAAATCACAGATTAAGCAATTATAAAGTACTAAGCACAGCGTAGCATAAACTACTCACTATCCTTTCAGGGAGCAGAATAGTTTGGTGTGAATCATGACTGTCCCCACTACTGCAGTGACTGGTTCAGAAATGGGTACAGGGGGCCTCCGTGGTGGCCCAAGAGGTTAAGTCTCAGCGCTGTGAAGCTACTGTAGCATGAGTTCAATCCCCAGCTAAGGAAGTAACCCACATTGCACAGCAGATCTCTCCTGTTTCACCCCCTTCTCCCCTCAGCAATGTATTTCAGTCAATCTGCTCCCCACTCTGTCTCTGATGAATCCTCTCACCCCCTCCTCCTCACACCTCTGCCTACACCCCAGTTCTCATATGCATAAATAAATCTTTACCAAAAAAAAAAAAGGGCACAAGAAACAATTCTAGCCAATGACACAGGAGAGGTAGTCTCCCCTGGAAAGGCGTCTAGAAAACATAAGTCCATTTTAAAAAGGTATGTAAGGAAGAAATGGCATTTAATAAATATGTTTCCCCTCCTTACATAACCATATGGCCAGCATGCAAGCTAGTATTAAAATTAAATCTTGGCGGGGAAGGTAAAGGAAAGGACTATTCTGGCTACTTACCCATTATTTCAACAGCCTTAAGATACAATTTGGTACAAATTAGGGCAGTTCTAATTTAGCACATATCTATGCTAAATGACCTTGCTCTGAAATACACACTCTGATGGCCAGGGGAAAGGAAAAAAAAAAAAAAAAGCTAATGGATGCTAATGGAAACAATACCTAACTTAAATAAATAGACAATACTTCTGTACTTAGCTCTGTTCAGATCACTCTTGGAACAAACATAATTCATAGCACAACATATGAAGCCAGAACTGATCCTGCTGACAGCAAAAGGGCAATTCCTTTTATTTGATAGTTGTCACAAAGCTACTGCATGCTACCCTCACTGAGAAGTTAGTATGGCAGATGGCCCACGTTTTAGAAATGTGAAAACTAAGTCTTGGAGAACATAGCAGTGAGCCTAGAAGTCACGCATCGCATAATTATTTAGAGGTCCTAAAGTAAGCAAAGGGGTTACAAAGGGTGTTAGCTTTTAAGTAGTTACACATGCTGCGCACACACACACATTATGGAGGTAAAGAGTTTTCAAAGCTATAAAGACTGTTACTAGTGATACTTCTGAGGAGTGGAAATGATGAATGAGGCCGATCGCTGAACAGGATTCTGAACTAAATTAAATTACTACGAGCGGGTACTACAAAGAGCCCCTGGAAGTTCAAGTTCAGGCTGCAGCGCAAGGGCAGGATATATGCTGGGTGGAACCACAATGCTGAGCAGCGTGATCTGAGAGAGGGATGAGGAACTGAGGCACACTTCCATCAAAGTAACGAGAAGAGCTGTCCAGCAGCAGAAGGGCGTCCCCAGAACTAGCGAGGTGCCCCTCTCCTGTCCAAGGTCTGGAGGAGGGTCTGTCAAGAGACTGGTTTCCACCCCAAGACCCTAAAGACCCTTCCAAACCCTAGCACGCAGCTCCGAGCGCGGCCTCTACCTCGCAGAGCGTGAAGAGTCCGTAGGCCACTAGCCACACGGTGCAGGTGACAGTGGTGAGCGATCGCAGCGAAAGCCGGGGGCAGCTGACGCAGAACTCCCGGCAGTACGGGGAGTAGTAGCGGCGATGCAAGGTCAGGGGGCCGCCACAGATATCAAAGAAGCTCTGCTCGTCCTCCATTGCCGGCTCGCCCCCATCCGGCCGGGCCGCGTCGCTCTAGCCCGCCCGCCGCGTCCTCTCGCCGGCTCTGCGCCTACTTCCGGAGAAAGGTGCAAGTCCCGCCCACCTCCAGCCCCGCGCAGTCGCAGTTCCGCGCCGCCGGCTGTGGCGCCATCTTTGAAGATTTTCGCGCCCAGACTCCGACGATGTACAATGATTGTCAACCCCAGAGATTCGCAGGGGTCCAGCAACTCAGTGGGCAGATTAAAATGTGCTTTCTCTCGGCAAAGTGAGTTTTATTTGTAAGCCAGAGTGCACCCCAAGGAGACAGTCTACAGGTACTCATTTATTCCACTCATCCATCCATGCATTCATTTCCATGTTTTAGATTCTAAGGATACCAGAGTTTATATCGATGTTACCTGCCTCCAAAAATATTCTTCCTAGTAGAAGAAACTAGAAACAGTTTCAGAGAAATCCGTTGGTAATAATATGATGGCCGGCAAGGGGTCCCTTGGGGGCATTCACAAGAGCCCAGTGCCAGACTAGTCAGAGCTGTGAAGCAGGAGTTTGCCTGGAAGGACGACCTGGAGAGGCAGTGCTTCCAAGTCCGGGTCCTGGGTTGGGTTTTTAGAGGAATCAAGAGGTCTGAGGGTCAGATGCGTAGGGAATGCAGTATAGAATTGGCGAGGAGCGTAGGTCAGGCCTAGAAGGGTCTTGGAAGGCCTGGTAACGAATTTAAATCTCTCTGCCTGGCACTTCTGTCTCCCAGACTTTTGCATGGTGCCATGAGGAGACAGACAAGAACTTGTTATTTAATATCAATGGAAACACATCATTAAAACACATTTTAAGATAGTTTTATATCTTTTAATTCAGCTGGTTTTCTTTGAAATCCTTTGTATTTTTTTTTTAATTCTTTTTAAAGCATTGTGATTTAAAGAGAATCTGTTGTACTAAAGAGGTTAAGACTCTGTACATGTTCAAAAGTTGCTGGGACACAGCAAGGAAAAGATATCTAAAAGTACTTAATTTCTTATGTTAAAATATGAGAGATAAATTACACAGGAGAAGTGTTTATTAGCCATAAGTCTAGTAATTGTTACCTATGTTATCCACAGTTGCCATTGATTCGGCTACACTGGAGAGTTTCTGTGATCTTGGACTCAGTTCTTTGCTAGCACACTTCACAGAGCTCAGGGAAATACTTAAGTTTTCTAGTTTATTAAAGACATGGATATGTAGAGTGAGATATGAGAGTCAGAAGCACAGGAGTTTCTGTGCTTGGAGTTGGGGTACATTACCTTCCAGGTACACGCGGATATGTTCGCCAACCTGGCAGCTCTCCAAACCCTATGGGGGGGTTGGAGGGTTTTTTTAAATAATATAATAGTTTATTTTTACATCATTTTGTGCCTTTTTCCATCTCAGTTGCAATCCCCATGATGGGAGTGGGCTTCCTATCACCAAATCACCCGTTTGTCATCACCATAGTCCAGTGTATTTCCCTCCCCCCACTGTTTTTGACCCCATTCCCCAGTCCACCCCCATAAAATGTCTCTGGTATATAGCTGTTCATTATTATTATTATTATTTTCTCACCTGGTCCATTTTACTCCTGATATGAGTAAAACTGTTACAGGGTAGCCCAGAGTGGACTGGGCGGCCTGTATGTGGGGCCTTAACTGCAGCACTCACAATTCAGTTATACTGCAGGTACACACAAAAGGGTCTATTTACAAAAGGGGGAAAAGAATAGGAAACAACCCAGGGAAAGAGAGCAGGATACAAAGTAACTGGAATACCTTAGGGCTAGGCTGACTGAACACACCGAGTCACATGGTCCAGAGAGCTACTCCCAGAGTGAGAAAGCAAGAGATGCAATCCCGCCCCCAAATGTCCCAGAATTCCTGCTAGCTCTGCCCTTGGGTCCTCACAGTTCTCTCCCTGGTACTGCAGGGAGTTGTAGTTTCCAATCACTGGAGTAGGGGGTAGGGTCCAGAAAGCTGGAGTAGGGGGTGGAGTCCATAAGACTCTGTAGAGTTCCTTTAGGACATCCTTCCCCTTAACAATTCCCTTTTGATTTCATACCACCATATCTATGGTGGCACAGATCACAGGGGGTAGTCTTCATAGACAGTCTCCGTAACACTTCCAGTCTTTGTAGGGTTTCCAGCATATGCATAAGAAGCAGCAGTCACCAGTAGTGTTTATGTATGCCCAGGATGATGATCATTACTGTAAAATAGTCCATCATATAGGTGAAGAGAAAAAAATGTTCTGATATATGTATATCAAAATAACAGTAACAAGCAAAAATCCTCAAAAACTGGTTTAACGTCTGTAAAAACAAGTTCTCTCAACCGTGATTCCTACTTAATCTAATAATGTGTAACATATTTACAAATTCAAGCAGGTTTCCACAGGTGCTTCCCTGTCAACATCTTCAGCACCCAGTTCAGGGTCTCTGAAGTTCAAAGACAACCAGGGACCACAGTGCAGTGCTGTGTTGCTCCTGGGTCCCTAGCCAGTCTGCCTCCTCCTGTCTTCCTTCCAGAATCTTCTTATGTTTGTTATCTGTAAAATGTCCAAGGAGTTTAGCTGTTCTTAGGAAGGATAGGGGAACATGTCAATGCCATCTTTCAAAAGTGGAATTTTTCTCATCTATTAAATTAGTTGTTGTTGAGGAGTTATTATTGCATGAGGTATTATGAATGGTAATTTGTGCAGTAAAATTTTTAGCACAGGCCCTCCCTAGTGGTGCAGTAGGTTGGACCCCTGCACTATAAAGCCAAGCCAAACCATCACTGCTTCAGTGCAAGTTTGATCCCCGCCCAGAAGTGACCCACATGGTCCAGCAGACCTCTCCTGTCTTGTCCGCTGTTCCCCTCAATCTGCCTGTTCTGCTCCCCACTCTGTTTCTGGCGAACCCTCTTGCCAAACCCTGCACCTCTGCCCTGTACCAGAAGTACAGGTCTGTATGAATTTTTAAAAAAATCAGTGTGTGCCTTACCCTTTCATACTGATGTCTTTTGATGCACAAAGCTTTAACTTCAATGAGTCGAATATAGTCATCTTTTATGGTTAGTACTATTTTATGTCCTGTTTAAGAAGCTTGGCTGTCTGCTTTAAATTCATGAAAATATTTGATTCCCTTTTTACCTATAAGCTTTAAAAAAAACTTTTTTATATTTAAGCTTCAAATCCATTTTTTAAATTTATTTATGCATACGAGAACTGGGGTGCAGGCCAAAGGTGTGGTGGAGAGGAGTGAGAGGATTCACCAGAGACAGTGGGGAGCAGAACAGGCAGATCGATTGAATACACTGCTAGGCCCTCCCTGGTAGCGCAGCGGGTTAAAGCACAGCACTGAGAATCTAAAGCCACTTCTGCATGAGTTGGATCCCCGCCTGCCCCAGAGGAGCTCCACATGGCGTGGCAGACCTCTCCTGACCCGCCTGCTGCTCCCCTCAGCAGTGTACTTCCTCCATCCGCCTGTTCTGCTCCCCGCTCTGTCTCTGGTGAATCCTCTCACCCTCCGCATCTCTGGCCTGTACCCCAGTTCTGTATGAATGAATAAATAAATCTTTAAAAAAAAAAAAAAAGAAAAGAAATACAATGCTAAGGGGAGCATCGGGAGAGACAGGAGAGGTCTGCTGCACCATGCCAGTCAGCTCCCTGACTGGGGGATTGAACTCTTGCTGCTGTGGCTGGCAATAGCTCGTTTTTAACCCCTGTGCCACCAGGAAAACCCCTTTGAAATCCATTTTTTTTTTTAAGGTTTATTTATGCATACAGAACTGGAGTATAGGCCAGAAGTGTAGTTTGAATTATTTTTTAAATGAGGTAAGGGGTCAAGGTCAAGGTTTTCCTTTTTTTCTCCCAGCACAATTATTTGGGTCCTTTGTTTTAATATTTTTATTGTTGAAATGGTAACAGAAAAAATAAATTAGTGGGAAAATCACACACAAGCCTTTCAATTTTACATTTTACTTTTCCAGCACTGTCTCTTAGTTTTTTCATTACAGTTTTTAAATTATTGCAGTCATGTTGTATATACCATTTTGGAATGTTATTTGAGCAAAAATCAATTAGAATGGGACAGCACCACACCAGAAATTAATTAGAGCGTACACCACCACTAAGAGCCAGGGAAAAAACCTTTATAGCGAGGAGACAAAAAGTAAAGCAAGGGGATTATTTGACTGACCATAGCTTAAGATTGCATCGCATGGGGAAGACTACCTGGCCCTTGGGGTTCCTGTCCTTAGGTTTGTTTGTTTGTTTTCTTTTTAACCTTGAAGCATTTACAGGCTTAGGTTTTATTTTGCTCTTATAGACAGCTAAGATAGAACCTCCTCAGTCTCATGGCTTCCTTGTTTAATGATTTAACAGTAGTTAAAAATTAATATTTTGGCTAACATTTTCAATACTTCTACAGATTTTTTTTTTAAAGATTTGTTCTAAAACTGTTACAGGGTAGCCCAGAGTGGACTGGGCGG